ACACGGGACACAACGGGAAGGGGGGAGCGGCCTCTCTGCCGTAGAAGCTCGGGAGCCCGGTGGGGGAACTACCCGGCGCCCGCAGCAACTGGTCGCGACTCCGAGCCCCACGCCCACCCCCTCGCCACGCCCACATCCCAGCTCTGCGAGTACGCCAGAGCCCCCGGGAACTGGAGAGCAGGGGCGGAGCAAGCTAGATCCCGACCAATGAGAGCCAGGGGGTGGGCGGTCCTGTACGCCAAGAGTATGACAGGCAGACGTATTAACCAATAGGAGTGTAAAGCAAGGATGAGTGACGGGCGACGCTCCCAATGGCTACTCGAGCCCTGGATCTCCGTGCCTGGAGTGCGCCACTCAGAGGCGTGGGGCCGACTCCGAGGACGCTTGTTATTGTCCGGCCAGGGGAGGCGGAGGTCGCTGGTTCGCACGCTCGCTCGCTCGCCAAGGCGGTCCGTGGCGGTCGGCGGCAGGTCGGTCGCGAGAGCGGACGCTGTGCAGGGGGCGAGGCTATGTCGCGGCGGCAGCCGGGGTGGGCCAGCAGGGCCGGGAATAACGGGACGTCGCGGCGGAGCTTCTTCCCCCGGATACAGCGCGGTCCGAGCGGAGGCCGCGGCGCCGCCCTTCGGTCCTGAGGAGCCCGCGCGGCGCGAAGCCCGTCCCACCTTCACACCAGCACTGACGCTAGTCGGGCCGGCCGGGCCCGGCCCAGTCTAGTCCAAGCAGGTGGGTGTCCGTTCTGTGCCCCCTGTCCCGCACCCCGGGCCGTCTTGGACCGCTGGGACTACAGTCCCCAGCAGGCCTCGTGCTGGCCCTGCCACCGCACTGCCTCCTGGGAATTGTAGTTCCTCGGTGGCTAGGAGAGTGCTCATAGCCACGCGCACTGCCTCCTGGGACTTGCAGTTCCCCTGGAGCTGGGCGAATGTCTCTAGCCCGGCTGGGCGGCAGGCGCAACAGTGCCTAGCTGGACGCTGAGGCCTTCTTCCGCTGCTTGGCTCCCGAAGAAAGCAGGCACACGTATCCCTGAGAACACCAGCCTGAAGACCACAGCCCCAGGGCACAGTGTCCTGGTTCCTAACTGGGATGCGGTTCTAAGCCTGGGGAGGGCCGCAGGAGTCATGTCACTTTGCGAGCTCACAGTGAGCCCATGTTCAGTGGGCTCTTCTTTTTGGAGACGGGAAGCTTAGGAAGTGCACAGTACCCCAGTGCACCTCCCCCCTCGTCCCCCAGCCTGCCATTCTGGGTGCGTGGCCAAGGTGGAGCTGGACTTGCCATCCTCAGGGTCAGGGTCTGCACACCTCTGGCTCGTGCTGGAGGCTTGGGAGCAGGCCAGGGGAAGAGTTGTGTGAAGCTGGGTGTGACCTGTGGCCTGGCCTCCCATATCTGCAGGCTGCACAGAGCTCCTTCCCTAAGGACATGAAGCTGTTGGAGAACTCCAGCTTCGAGGCCATCAACTCACAGCTAACTGTGGAGACTGGAGATGCGCACATTATTGGCAGGTGAGGCCCAAGGTCCTGCGGCTGCATCTCATGGTGCCCTGCCCTGGCCCCAAGTCTGTCCTGGGGTGACATCCGAGGGTGCCCTGCCCTGGCCCCAAGTCTGTCCCGCGGTGACATCCGAGGATGCCCTGCCCTGGCTCCGAGGCCGCCCTGGGGTGGTGTGCCCCATGGTGCTGACTGTGCCCTAGGATCGAGAGCTACTCTTGTAAGATGGCAGGAGACGACAAACACATGTTCAAGCAGTTCTGCCAGGAGGGCCGGCCCCACGTGCTGGAAGCACTGTCCCCACCCCAGACCTCAGGCCTCAGCCCCAGCAGGTGAGCCAAGGAGGGCCTGCCCTGGGCGCTGGGGGTAGGGGCTGGGCTGATCCTCCTCTCTGTGCAGACTGAGCAAGAGCCATGCTGGTGAGGACGAGGGCCCCCTCAGCGACAAGTGCAGCCGCAAGACCCTTTTCTACCTGATCGCCACACTCAACGAATCCTTCCGGCCAGACTACGACTTCAGCAGAGCTCGCAGCCACGAGTTCAGCCGCGAGCCCAGCCTCAGCTGGGTGAGCGCTAGGTGGGAGGAAGGGACCTGCAGCCCTGGCCACCACAGGCAGTCCCTGCTCCTGAGGCCCTGGGCTTTGCCAGTCCGTGCCCCCCTCGTCAGCACTTGTCACCCCTGTCCGTGGCCTGCCCTAGGTGGTGAATGCAGTCAACTGCAGTCTCTTCTCAGCTGTGCGGGAAGACTTCAGGGCCTTGAAGCCACAGCTGTGGAATGCAGTGGACGAGGAGATCTGCCTGGCCGAGTGCGACATCTACAGGTAGGCCAGAGTCCCTGCAGGACAGCATCTGGGTGTGTGTGGCACTTGGGACCTCATGCTGCTTCTCACCCTTCACTCCCCAGCTATAACCCAGACCTGGACTCGGACCCCTTTGGGGAAGATGGCAGTCTCTGGTCTTTCAACTACTTCTTCTACAATAAGCGACTCAAGCGTATTGTCTTCTGGAGCTGCCGCTCCATCAGGTGGGCCCCAGCTCCCTCCCCACAGCGCCTGCTTGGGCCCACCCCAATTCCCAGCCATACCTGCTCACTGACTCAGTCCTCCCTGGGGCCTGTGGTGGGCCTGAGACCAGGGGCCTGACTGGCTCCCAAACCCTCCAGTGGCTCCACTTACACACCCTCCGAGGGAGGCCGCGAGCTAGACATGGAGCTGGAGGAGGAGGTGGAGGAAGAGAGTGGCAGTGGAGGCAGTGAAGGCCCTGAGGAGGCCAGCACTCTGGAGGAGGACAGGTGTGTGATGGTGGCCGTGGCCTGGGTCCCTGTGGTGGGTGGGACAGGGTGGGCCTCTCCTCCTGGACCCCTGGATGGTGGTCCCGAAAGGCCTGCTGTGTGCCACTCTTTGCCTAGGGTCCCGGTGATCTGTATGTGACGGGAGGAGTGGAGCCCACCCTCATCCAGCTTCATCCAGTGCCTGGACCCGCCCACCTGAGGGCCCCAGCGCCACCCCAGCTGCTGGCCAGACCCTGGCGCTGTCAAAGGCCACACCCACCTAGCTCTTTGGCTCTAGCCTGTGGATGTCCACTCACCCACGGCCTCCTGCTATCCGTGCTGTGACGGTCTGGATGGCCTAACTTGCTAGGAGGAGTCACCGCCCACCCCAGAGCTGCTGCAGCAGGGCCGCTGGGCCGCAGAGTTTATTTTTATATTCCGTCCTGGGCCAGCACACTCCTGCCCAAAGGGCGATGGCCAGAGACCCTATGAACAGACCCCAGCAGTGATGGCCCTGGCCTGGGGCTGCCCTGGCCCCTACCTGTACCAGTCAGGATGCGCAATGAGTGTCCCTTTGCTGCAGCTCATTTGTTTCCAATAAAAGTTTGTTGACTTGGTGTGGACTTGGTGTGGACTTGGTGCGGAGTGGGGGCGGGGCCGTTGCGGGGCGGGGCCTGTAGCCTCTGGTATCTTAGTAACGGTGTTAGGTCTCAAGAACTGTTAGGCGTTTGGACGCGCAGCTGCGTTAATGGAATCAGAAATGTATCTCTTAGCTGAAGGCGACGACCCAGTCGACCTCGACGTGTGTGACCCTGACAGCTTCGACGCCCCAGACCCCGGGCTGCTCATGGAAAAAAATGGTGAGCGGACCTGGCCTCACACCCCAAGTGCCCCACTAGGATCCAAGTGTCCTTTGGGCTTTAAAATCCCTAAGAGTTCAACTCCCCTGGGGAGCCCCAGCCCAGCAGGGCTGCCCAGGGCTCCAGTGTTGGGGGTTCAAAGCCGGAGGTGCCAGCGCTCATGGTCCCCCGCAGAGCTGTCCTTCACGGAGCCGCTGCCGGACTCTGAGGTTTTCACCAGCAGCCAGCAGTGGCAAAGCATGACTCCGCACGCCCGCGCCCGCCAGCTGTGGTTGCTCCTCCGCGCAGGCCTCCACGACATCGTGGAAAAGGTGCGGCTGCCCCCGCATCGGCCTCAGTCTGGCCCTTTCCTTCGGGGTTCCCAGAGCTGACTCTTAGGATCCTCTTGAGCTTTCCTATGCTGGAGCGTCTCCTCCCCTTAACCGTGGGTCTGCCAATCCCGACCCGCAGGAGAAGAGAGACGAGCTCCGCGTTGCGCGCTTGACGCACGGGCTGGAACCACTGCGCCGCCTGGAGGTGGCAGCCGGGCTATGCTCAGTGGCGCAGGACCCAGTATGCCGACGCTTTGTGGTGCTGGACCGTGCGGGCCGCCTGCACGTGCACCGAGAGGACGGCTGGGCTCAGGAGAAGCGTCTGGCCCCGGTCCGGCTTACTGGACTGGTGGCCGTGCTGGGCCCGCTGGGCGCCACGGGCCGCTTTGTAGGCTGGGGCCCCGCAGGGCTGGCCATCCTAGGGCCCGACCTCAGCCTGTTGTGGCTCAGCGAGCCAGGGGTGGGCAGGGGGTCGGACCGCGAGCCTACTTGCTGCCTTCCGGTGCCCAACCCTGGGCTGCTGCTCGTGGCCGAGGTCGGAGGAGGTGTGGCGCTCTGGAAGTTTCGCTCACGTGGTCGCCGCCTGGTGCCGCTTGGGTCAACTCTGCAGCCGCCGCCGAGTCCACCAGGCGCCATCATGCGCCTAGCTCTGGCGCCTGCCCCTCCCCACCAAGTCCCACGTTGCTTTGCTGCCTATGGCTCAGCCGTGCTGACCTTTGATCTGCAAGCCTGGGCTCTCGTAGACGTGCGACGGGATCTGCACAAAACGTGAGGAGCGCTGCAATGGGGCGCGAGGCGGCTCTCACTGGCACTGTAGGAGGCCCTTCTAAATCTGCTGTGCTGCACCCCCCACCTGTCCCCAGCACCATCTCGGACCTGGCGTTCTGCCAGGAGGCAGAGGCCATGGTGACTGCTTCCCGGGACAGCACAGTGAAGGTGTGGGAGGCAGATTGGCAGATCCGGATGGTGTTCGTGGGCCACACAGGTGCGCCGGCCCCATCACAGCCCTGCTTTAGAGGATTCTGGGAAGTCCAGAATCTCTCCTGTCCCTGACCAGGTTTCTCATGGCTGGCCAGGCCTGGGGCTGACAGCTCCCCTTTACTGCGTCCTGGTGAACCCCCATAATGATCCACACCCCTCCTGCAGGCCCTGTGACAGCTATGGCCGTACTCCCGAACACGCCCCTGGTGTTGTCTGCCTCGCAGGACGGGACGCTGCGCACGTGGGACCTGCGAGGAGCAGCGCAGGTGGGCGAGGTGTCACTGTGCTACTGGGGCCAGGACGTGTTGTCTGGGCGTGTGAGCAGTCTGCTGGCGCCCGTGGGCCCCAACTGGCCCGTGCTAGCCCTGTGCAGGAGCAGTGTTCTGCTGTGGCGTGTGCACCAGCTCTACACGCCGCTGGCGCAGCTGTCGGCGCCAGTGCTTCACCTGCAGGTGGCGCCCACGCTGCCCGTGCCCGCGCACCCATCCCTGCCCTCGCGCATTGTATGCGCTTGCGCCGACGGCTCGGTCTACCTAGTGTCCACGGCTACTGGGCGCACGGTGAGCGCACTGCTTCTGGAGCCCGATGACTGCGCAGCTGCCGTGGCCTACTGCCTGCCCCGTGAGGCCTTGTGGGTGCTGACACGTGCGGGGCACCTGGTGCGTGCCAATGCAGCGCGCTGCCCCATGGACGTGCAGTACCGCGTGCGCCCGCCGCCATCCCCGGCACCACAGCCCTGCTGCCTGCATCTCTATAGCCACCTCATAGATCCCGAGAGTGCATTCGCCACCTGGGAGATCGTGCGCCAGCACAGGGGTGAGCTGCGCCGTAGCACTGTGCCCTGGGCATGGAAGAACAAGAACAGGTGTGCGCAGGAGCCCGCTGGGCAAGGGGGAGAGGTGGGCTTGGCTGTAGGGGCCGCGCCAATAGCCTCTGATGCCACCCGTAGGTACCTGCCTGTGCTGGGGCACACAGACGGCTCGCTGTCTGTGCTTGACTGGCACTCATCGAAGGTGGTCTTCCACACGGAGGCACACAGCCCTGGCCCTGTCACTGCCCTTGCATCCACCTGGAACAGTGTAGTATCTTCAGGTCAGTATCTCATCTCCCCCACTACCTCCTGAGCTGTCCGGGCAGCCCCTCTCCTGCAGGCCCACAGCGGGTCGCCCTACCTGCAGGCGGGGACCTGACAGTGAAGATGTGGAGGGCCTTCCCCTACTCGGAGGAGAGCCTGAGCCTGCTGCGCACCTTCTCCTGCTGCCACCTGGCTGTGAGGCTCTGTGCCCTCGATCGGCGCATCACTGTGGGCTTTGAGGACCCAAACACTGCCACCTATGGACTGGTGCAGTTCGGCCTGGGCGACAGCCGGCGCTGTGACCACCGGCCCCAGGATGACCCCCTGGATCACATCACTGGTGAGGGGCAGAGCAGAGGTGGAACGCAGGCTGCGCCCCTTCTCTGGCCCCTGACCCCGAGCCTTGCCCAGGCCTGTGCTGCTGCCCAGTGCTCAAGCTCTACGCCAGCTCCAGCCTGGACGGCACCATCCGCATCTGGACCGCGGAGAACCGCCTGCTGCGGTGGGTGGGGCTGGGCTGGGCGGGGCTGGGCTGGGCCAGGGCGGGGTGGGGCAGAGATCTCCTACTTCTCGGTACCAGAGCCCAGCGGCTGGAAGAGCAGGAGAGGGCCCTGCCCCTGCTGCTGCCTTAGTTTCCCACTCCGTGAAACAAGGGCTGGACCCTGGCCCTGGGCACCCTTCAGGCTCCTGCAGCTGAATGGGGCTCCTCAGGCCCTGGCCTTCTGCAGCGACAGTGGGGACCTGGTGCTTGCCCTGGGCTCCCACCTCTGCCTGGTGCCCCACCGGCTCTATCTGCCTACATCCTACCTGGTGAAGGTGTGCAGTGAGGGCAGGGTGGGCAGGGTGGGGCTGCTGTAGACTCAGTCCCTAGGCCGGTCACGCAGGCTCCCCTCTGTTCAGAACCTGTGCCAGAAAGCTCCTGACACCGTGGATGACCCTCCGCTGCCACTGGCCAACCCCCCGCTGCCACTGGCCAGCCAGGAGACCCTGACCTCTGCTCAGCTGCAGAGACTCACCCACCTGCACAGGACAACAAGCCTCAGGTCCACCACAGCCCACCACCCTACAAGTCCCACCCGCCCTCCAGCACTCAGGATCCTCGGGTTGCCACAAGCCCAGGTGCCCCAGCCCTTGCTTCCTCACCCTGTCCCAGCCTCGGCTCCATCCCCCTGTAGAACCACCTGGCTTCCCACCTACACTTGTCCCTGTCTGCAGTGTGGCTCTGTCTCTCATCCGTCGCCAGACAGCACTGTCTCAGCAACCAGTGGTAAAGGAGGTAGGGTGAGCCCCCAGTCCAGGCCCTGGGTCCCTGTAATCTCCTGGGCAACAGATGGCTGGGCTCAAGGAAGACCAGGCTGAGCCCTCACTGCCCACCCAGGACTGGGATGCGCTAGTGGCCCGGAACCAGGACCTCCAGCAGCTGGGATCAGGGCTGGTGGTCCCTGCGGCTCGCCCCCCTGCCTCCTGGCAGCAGCGCCAGGAAGCCTTTGACAATTATCTCCGTGTGATCTATGGCCCTGGCATGCTGGTGGGTGCGGCCCTCCCCCAGCCCTGGCTAGGCCCAGGCCCCTGTTTGCCCTAGTTTCTAACCCCACGCACTGCTCCTGCCACCTCCCCAGGGCATGCAGTCTGGATGGGAGTCCCAGCAATGCAGTACCGTGGCCCTGGCAGGGGACAGAGAGGCCCACGACCCAGCTTCCCTGCTAACATCTGGCCCCTGTCCTGGGCAGACTAGGCTCAGCGTTGAAGCCCAGGCAGTGCCAAAGGCCCTGCCCCTGCAAGACCTGGGGGCCCTAGGCCAGCACGTGGCCCCTGCTGCCCGGCTTGTCTCACCCACATACCGCAGGGCACACAGCACCGTATCTCAGGTGAGCCCCAGCCCACCCCTGCCCAGGCCACGTGGCCCTGCCCACTGTGTGACACCTCCCCTGCTCCAGCTCCTCGCCTGCTCATCCCTGAGCTCCTGCCTGGGTCTCAGCCTGGATCTGCAGCTGCAGGCGGCGCGGCCTCGGCTCCAAGGTCAGGCAGCAGCGCCTCAGGATGTGCGGGACACGCCGCCCTCCCAGCAGCGGCACAGGGTGAGAGCCGGACAGCTGGGCGCCACCCCGAGGGCACCGAGGGCACAGGGCTAACCCCACTCTGAGCCCCGTGCCCTCCCCAGGTCCCACTGCTGCTCAAAAGGCGGCCTCAGGAGCCCCTCTCGAGACTTGGGGGCTTCTTTCCTGCCACCACGCAACTCTACCAGGTGAGGCCCCCACGGCCTGGGCTGCCTGGCTCCAGCCCCCTCCCAGTGCCCCCGCTGGCCCAGTCCTGGCACAACTGTGTCTGTGGGCCTGAGCTATGGTCCGAGCGGGGGACCAGGAGCTCCCGGAGCAGGTGGCAGGAGAGTC